GAGCTGTACGAACGTAGGAAGGGACGGGTCGGCGGCTGGAGTCGCACTGGTCGGAGCGCAACGCGAAGGACGAGCTGATGGCCCCGCTCGGGGGCGCCGGCCTCTACACGGAGCTGACGCTGGGCGCCTTCGTCGACCTGGGCTTCTACAAGGCGAACTGGGCGGCGGCGGAGCCGATGGCGTGGGGCAGGAACTCGGGCTGCGAGCTGCTGAGGAAGAAGTGCGCCCAACTCAGTTTGGATAAATACCCCAAAATGTTTTGTGAGCGAAGCGATTTGCACCTGCGCTGCGCGTCGAATCGGTACTTCAGTGGTCGGTGCACAAGGAGCATCGTGGAGCTGTCGCCAGGAGCGGCAGCGGACTCCTGCCCCGTCATTGACCCCGTGCTGAGCGTGAGGGACCTTAACGCCGTCTTTGCGCAGGGGGCGCATAAAGCGGCGAGGCCTGGCGACAACCCCTCCTCGTGGTGCCTGGACGTGGATCCCACCACGGTGGAAGGTGCGAAGGACGAGGACAATCCCGTCGCCGCCGTGCACGCGGAGGTGAAGTGCCTCGGCAGTGAGGTGAAACTGAAAGGGAAGAAGCGGAGCGGGGAGGATTGGATGTCGTGCACGCCCGGGTTGATTACGTGGAATATTCCGCCCTTCGATACTGACAAGGTGATGTGCCCCGAATACAGTGAGGTGTGCACGATATCCGCCATCGGCAGCGGCGTGACCCCAGGGGTTGAATGGGACGGCACGGAGAAGGAGTGGAGGAGAACGGCCCCTGCGGAAGCGCCGGAGCCAGCGCCGCCAGTGACCGGCCCTGCTGAGGTTGGGCCCGGCATCGGCCACACGAACCCGCCCGCGATCCCGCCGCCCCCCGAAGGAAACAACGCCGGCGACGGCGGAGGCCCCGGCGGCAGCAGCGGGCCGGGCAGCGGCGCCCCGTCGACGGGGCAGGGGCTCCCCGCAGCGGACCCGGAGGGCGCGCAGAAGCCCGTGCCCGAGGAGGGCGGGGTTGCGGCGCCGGGGGCAAAGGACAGCGAGGGCGTGCCTCCCGAGAGCAGCCACGGCGGCGGCGGCGGTGTGAGTCCTCCGGCGGGGACACCGCCAGCGGGCGGGGACGCAGCCGACAGGGCCGGTGACGGTGCTGCCACCCCCGCAGGGCCCAACGGCGCCGGCGCGGCAGGCAAGAACGACGCCCCGCCTCCGGCCCACGGCGATGGCACTGTGGCCGCTGCCGGCCCCTCTCTGCTTTTGCTTCTTGCCGCCGCCGCAGCTACAGCAGCAGCGCATTGTTGAGCAGCGGCGGAGGTGAGGTTGCACGGCGTGGCGGCTCCGCTCGCCTCCTGCGTGGCCCGCGCTCAGCAGGGCATGCGAGGGTAAAGGACCGCATTTTGATTTCTAAACTTCTATACGCGAATACACGACTGCGCTGTATACACTTTGTTTTCTTTTTTGTTTTCTTTTTCCTTTGTTTTCAAGCACATCTTCTATACACTCCACCCCACTTTGCTTTGCTTTGTTTATATTGGAGTTCCTATACAATTCCGTGTTTTTTATCCGTTTGCGAATAGCATTCGTTTTTGTTTTTGTTTTAAATTTTCCCAACGAACGCTCTGCGGTGGTCGTGTGCGAGGGACCCCGCTTGCATTCCGGGCTTCCCCACTTGTTTTGCCTCGGCTTTGCGCACTGCCCCTTCCCTTCTGTTGTGGGTGCGTGCTTTGGGGTCGACGGGGGCTGAGGTGTGTGGAGGGGCAAAGTGCCGGTGGACGGCGGTAGTGCTGCCGTGCGGTTTGCTTGCCGGTGCGGCGGCATCGTGTGGCGCTCTTTGCCTCCCTCTCGCTTTGGCTGCGGCTACGGCGCGGGGGTGGGCGCACGCTGCGTGCTGGGCCGGGCGCTGATGTGCGGGATGCCGTGCGGCGCGTCTTTGCTCCGGCCTCCTGCGTGCCGCCGTGTGCGGCTCTCGGGGCCACGTTGCGGAGGCCCACCGCGGGGTTTGCCCCGCAACGGCGCGCTCTCCGGCTTGCGGCCGCCGGGCCCTTTTGCCCGCTCGTGTGCGGCGCAGGTCCTCTCGCAGGTGCGGCGTGCGCCGCGGCAGCGCGTGCCTCGTGCCGCTGACGCCGCGTTGGATGCGTTTGATTGTTTTGTTTTGTTTTGTTGTTTGTTCTCAGTCGTTTGCTCCTTTTTTTTGTTCCTTCTCTCTTTTTCCTCCTCCCGCGGAGAGGGCCTGTGCTGCCGCCGCCGCCACCGCGACTGCCGCTCGGAGGGAGGCACCAAATGCACTTTTATCGAGCGATGCGCCGGCCACGCCGCACCGCGCCGCTCCTCCCACTGACGCTGCTGCTGCTGCTGTGCGCTGCCGCTGGATGTCTTGCCGACGCTCCCGCCGGAGTTGCGCAGGGGGAAAAGGCATCGCAGGAGCCACGGCAAGACGAGGGCACAAGTGACACTCCAAAAGGCCCAGGCGGTGGTGATAAACAGCTGAGTGCTGACAGCACACAGCCGGGCAGTGGCGCGGGGCCGGCGAAGGCAGGCACCGTTACGGCACCGGAAAGCTCAGATCGCAGCGAGAACGATGGGCAGAAGCCGGCACCGCGAGCAGCAGGCGAGCCCCCAACCGTCCCAGAGGCGCCACAAGCAACGGAAACACCGCCGGAAGCCAAAGAGAACGGGAGCGCAACCGGAACTCTGCAAAAACCGGGGGAGGCCGCAGTTACCGCAGGGAGTGCGTCGGCCGACGGTGGTGCGGCGCAAGAGGCCCCGTCGCTTTCTTCTCCGAGCGGCGGTGTTCCTGCCAGCAGCGACGCCAAGGAGCCCACTGAGAAGACTCCCGAGGCCACCCAAACTTCTGAGGGTGCGCAGACACATGAAGGCGGAAGGCAACAAGGTGAAACTGCCGCTGGCAGTGCGAGGGACAAAGCACCGGCAGCAGAGGCCTCCACCAACACAAACGACGCAGCGACTCCAGCAGCTGGCGGAGAAGGAGCCGCAACACCGCCAGCCACCACAACCAAAAAGAATGCAACGAAGCCGGCGCCCGGCGACAGTGAAGGCAGCAGCGCCGCGGCCTCGCACTCTGCCTCCCCCCTTGCGCTTCTTCTTCTGCTTGCGTGTGCGGCAGCCGCTGCGGTGCTGGCCGCGTGAGGGACCGAGTGATAAGGAGAGGGCGGTGCAGAGCTTATTCTTCTCTGTCTTTTTCTCTATTTCTGTGTCGCCCTCACTGCACGGACTCTCTCGCCCTCGCCGCACCCCACGAGGCAGACACACATAATGTGCTCGTATATATACACAACTCCACTCATGCAGGCCCGTCGGCCCTCTTCTTTTTCTTCTTACTCCCGGCGAGCCGCTGCCGTCTTGTTTGGCCGCATGGGTACAGCACCGTAACTGTTTTTATCCTCTTTAATTGTTTGTTTTTTGTTTCCATTTCTTTCGGTGGGCGACCTTTCTTTTCTCTCTCTCTCTCTTCCTGGATTGGGCTGTGCGGGAACAGATCGATGGAGTGTGTGTGCTGGTCGTCCCACGTGTTGCTGCGCGTCCCCACTGCTCGGTGGACGCGCCCCCACGCTTCGGCTTCACTTCACGGGTTTGTTTTAAATTTTCTCTGGTCGTTTGTTCGTTGGTTGACTGCGCCCGTTTTGCAGCCCGTGTGTGTGCGATGCTCTCTGCAAAGGAAGAGGGCAACTTTATTTTGGCTTCAATCGACTGTTTTTTTTGTTTATGAATTCCGCTTCGGTGGCGTGCGGTGCGGAGAAACTGAGAGGCGCAGCACGCGGGAGGGGGCGGGGGCGGGCGCGATGCCTTCCCCTTTGGCGGGGGCGGTCTTGTCGGCACCTTCAATCTGTTGGAATGCCGCACTGCCGCCCCGGGCCCCACTAGTCTTCTTCTGCCCTCCCTTCCCCTCCCCCCACTGCGCTTCGGCAGGCACACACACAACCACACGGCACGGCACGAATTGCAGGGCACGTGGCTGGTCACTTCGCATTCGGTGCTGGCGGTGCCGTGTGCGGCTTTCTCTTGTGCATGTGGCTGCGTGAACTCGGTGGGCCGCCCTCTTTGTGTTATTTTTCTCTCTTCTC